GCAACAATGAATGAATGGAATCCCAAAATCTCTGTAGATGTTCATTGAAATGAAAAATAAACAACCTAAATTTAAAAAAAAATAAATAATTAGGTAAGTGATAATACCATGGTTGTTGTTGTTGTTATGTGCCACCGAGTTGCCTGTGGCTCATAGCAACCCTATGTACAACAGCTCTGAAGCCTGCCCTGAACTGAGCCTGTCTCACTGATTCCACACACCTACCCCCATTGCCCTAGTCACTGTATCAACCCATTTCATCCAGAGTCTTCCTTTCCTGCGCTGTTCTTCCACCATTCTGAGCATGATGTCCTTCTCTAAGGACCAGATGCTCCTGGCCACATGCCCAAAGTGTGTAAGATGGAGCTTCAAAGTCCTAGCTACCAAGGAAAACTTGATTTCACCAGATCTATTTGTTTTCTTGGTGGTCCATGGTGTGTTCGACTCTTCTCCAGCACCACAACTCAAAGGCATCAATTCTTCTATCATCCTTAGTCATTGTCCAGTCCTCTGATGCATAGCAAGTAATTGCAAAGACTATGGACTGGATCAGGTGCACCGTAGTCTCTAGACTGACATGGTTGCTTCTCAGTACTCTGGAAAGGTCCCTGACAGCAGATATACCTAATGTAATTTGTCTTCTGATTTCCTGACTGCTGGTGCCAAGAGTGTTGATTGTGGAGCCGAGCAAGCTGTAACTGTCAACAACCTCAATCTCTTCTCCATCCTTCACAGTACTGACAATCAGCCAGTGGTGAGAATCTTTGTCTTCTTGATGTTAAGCTTCAATCCATATTGAAGATTAGTCCTTGACCTTTTGTAGCAAGCACTTCATGTCCACCTCAGTTTCAGTAAGCAGGGTTGTGTCATCTGCATAACTCAGGTTGTTGATGAGTTTTCCTCCAATCCTGATGCCACATTCCTCCTCATAAATCCCAACCTCCCAAATGATCTGTTCTGCATACAGACTGAAAAGGTATGGAGACATGATGTATCCCTGACACACTCCCTTCCTGATTTTGAATCATGCAGTGTTTCCCTGCTATTCTGAGTATTGCTTCCTGGTCCAACACCATGGTATTTACTGGAAATTAGCAGGGAGGGGTAACTTAGTGAGACTCATCAAAGTAACAAAGTATAAGAAAATCTAAGAAGCAATTCAATTCATACCGCAGAACACCTCAGAAGACTCAGGAATAAGTGACACCAAGTATCTTTGGAGTGTATATGCATGCGCATGCACACACAGTAGCACTGCTACTGGTTACTGGTGATGATGAGGCAAAAAGTTTTACAAGCAGGAGCATTGGTTCAAAGTCTATTTAAGACTCAGTTAAACCTTTGAGCTTCCTACACTAGTTGTGCAGAACTGAATGACTTTCTTCTTTTTCCTAGCAGAAGACAAATGAATTAGTAATCTGTTCAAAGTAAAAGAGCATCTAGATAACAGGCTTGATGGGTAAGGAGTTGTGCTGTCAACCCAAAGGCATGTAGTTCAAATCTAGTATCGGCTGTATGGGAGAAAAAGGGGCACTCTTCCCCTGTGCGATTTATAGCCTCTGAAAATCTGTTGGAGTGCCAAGTATGAGTAGGTTCTGACTTGATGGCAATGAAGGGTTTTTATTGAGAGGGGTAATAACTAGATATTTATATATGGAATGTTGAGACCCAGCTCTTCTACCACACCTTACATTTCTGTACTCATCTATGGTCACCCCAGGCAGGAGGCTTGAAGCCTCTGTTGTGAAGTATTAACCAGATGTCCTAGGTTCTAGGAATAGATGAATGATTTAACTAATTCTATTTGTGCTAGTGGAGCTTTTATTCTAGTAAAGATTTGGAGGAAGTGATCTTAGATATTTCCAATAAAATGGACCAACCAGATCACCTGCAGTAATGAACTTTTAATTAGGTGTGCAGAGCTTCCAATAAGCTGTTTAGTACTTTAGTCTTAAATATTAGCAAAAAAGAGAATTTCCCACACATATGAGGAAAGCCTCTCATAGAAAAGAGAGGCAAAAAAAAAAACCCACCCAGAAAACAACAACAATACAACTTAGAAAACACAAGTTATACTTTGGAAGAAAATGTGAAATATAAAATACATATCTTCATAGAATATTGCTGATGTATCAATGAAAAAAAAAAGCAAAGGGCATTCTAAAAAGCTCCCAAAACTCTTGAAAATTAAAGAAAAAGGAAATTAGAAGGAAAATTAAGTTAAAACAGAGGACTGGCCTAAGAGGGCAGATTTACAAACATAGAGAAAATAACAGAAAGGGCGTGGCCTCATGACAAAAGGGGTCACTATGTATCTAGCACAATAAACAACAAGTGGACATGAAAAAAAAAATCACTATAAAACTTTAGAATAAGGAGGAATAAGATAAAATCCCAAGAATTTCTAGGTCCAGCACGTAGGAGCCAGAATCAGTGTAGCATCAATCTTCTGATACTGGAAATATTGGAAAGCAGAAGACATGAAATGATGACTTCCAAATTTTGAAGGCAAATGAATGAAAATTCAACCCCAGTCAAGTTTAAAGGTAGAATGAAGACATTTTTCAGTTGTATTGTCAGAAATTTTGTTTTCCATGCATCTTTGGTGGTCTAGTTGATAAGGAGGTGGGCTGCTAACTCAGTGGTAGGTAGTTTGAATCCACCAATTGCTCTGAAAGAAAGATGGACAGTCTTTTCTTATGTGATTTACACTCTCTGCAAGCCCACTACAGGTCAGCCAGGAGATACGTTTTCAAGAATTGAGGGCTCTCCTTCATAGGGTCGCTATGAGTCGCCTGCGACTGACGGCTCTTAGGAAGCTCCTGGAAAAGGTGCTCCATCACAATAAGGGAGCCATGAAAGAAGAGGATATAATATCTAGTGAACAGGGCATCCAACACAAGAAAGAGATGAACAGAATCCAGAGTGACAGTGAAAAGAGATTATAAGAACCTGAAGGCACATGATTCAAATCTACCAGCAGCTCCCTCCACCAGAGAAAGATAGGCAATCTCCTTCCATGCAATTTACTGCCTCTGAAAACCTGCTAGAGGCCCAGCTATGGGTCAGTTCTGACTTGATATTATGTAAAAACAACAATAATGTATTTTATCAGGGAGTTTTGGTGACCTATGGCTAAGGAGCTGCACTACCAACCCAAAGACATGAGTTTGAATCCACCAGCTACTGTGCAAAAGATAAGCATTCTCCTCCAATGAGATTTACTGCCTCTGAAAAGCTGCTGGAAGCCTAGCTATAAGTTGACTTGATGGTACATGACAACAACATTATTTATTTATCAGCCCGAAAGAGTAACTGAGCTCTGGTGCCCTATTGGGTAGAGTTGTGCTGCCAACTCAAAGGCGCGTGGTTCAAACCTACAAGCTGCTCCTCGGGATAAAGACTGGCAGTCTCTCCCCATGTGATTTATAGCCTCTGAAAACCTGATGGAGGGTCAAACCCAACTCACTGGCAATGTTGTTATGTTGTTGTTATGTGCCGTCGAGTCGT